GTGAAAATTGAAAGAGAAAAGGGAGAGGATAACAATATGAAAATTAAAAGAAGAAGAGAGGGAGAGAGTAACATAAAAACTAAAAAAAATTAAAACTACCTTTTGAAATAGGTGGATGATAAAGGGAAGATAATGAAATGTGCATATGTGAAACTAAAAGAGAAAAGGAAGAAGTTGTATAAAAAAGGAGAAAATGTTAAATTGAAAATATAAAATTAAATGATTAAAAATATATTAGAAATTTATTTTTTTTTAAAAAAAGAAAGGAGATGTACTCATTTAAAAAAAATTATATATCATAAGTCATGTAGGATAATAATTGTACTTTTTGAGCTAGTCCATCCCAAAATCAAAGTACAAACTAATATTGAGTTTGTTTCTCTCCACACATTTATTTCAAGGTATATTATTTTTCCAAGTTTATTAATAACACCTATATCCAATCAAAATGTTACCAAACTAAGTTAATGGACTTATCTTAAGTCCTTTATAGACGTAATTATTTGTGAATGTTTTATTTAATGGGCCGAAGGAAGTGTCTGTATTGGCAATTTTATTTTCAACTTAAGGAGGTTGCTAGGTTACCGAGTTTAAAGTCATATATTAGTAAAAGAGTTAATTATTTATATATTGTTAGTATAAACTTTTTTTACATTAATAACTAATTATATCTTTTAATTGTTCTATGTCACCGTTAAAAGTAAATGTGTTTATAGTGACATGACACAATTAAAAGATATAATTAGTTACCAGTGTAAAAAAACTTTACACCGACAGTGTATAAGTAATTAACTCTTAGTAAAATATATTACTTTTATTAGAGATGTAAGTGTGTAAAAAAGACTTACCTCCACGAATCCGGTATGTGTGAGTCAACCCAATTATATTTTTACATATTGGATTGAGTAATTGACTTGGATAATTTTTATGTTATTTAATTATAATTAGATTAAGTAATAAGTTAAAGAGTTTGTTGTTTAATAAATTTAAATCAATTTTATCTATAATAAATTATTAAAATAAAATAAAATATTATACATAACATAACATGCAATATTCTATATATAGTTAATTATATTTTTTCACCAAATATTATAATAATGAGTTGATCGGTTAAATTAAAAAAATATAGAGTAAAAAAAATAATTTAATTATACTTGTTATGTAGTTCAAAGTTTGTTAATTAATAACATAATATTTACTTTTTTAGGATATTTGTGATTTCTCATGATTATTATAATTTATATTGTTATTTATATTTTGAATCATGTATTAAAATTTGAATTAACTATTTTTTACTATTTTTTTATTTGTTTTTGTTATTTAAATATATTTAACTTTTAATTGTTCAAACCAATGATCTGACTTGATTTCAATTAGATTATAGTCGAATTAGTTTGAGTTAAATCACTAAAAAAAATTTACAAATCCAACTCGATCTAAATTGATTAAGCTTAAATGAGTTGGGTATTAAAATAATTTAAATTTAATTTTATCTAACCGATTTATACTCTTAACTTTTATCATAAAGTTCTAAATCATATATGTTGTTAGTTAAAGCACTAGTTATACTATCAAATTTATCCACTAATATTTTAACATGTGTTTTGCACAAGTCAAAATTTTATTATATATAACTAAAATTTATAATAAATTATATATAAATAAATACTATACTTCTATATATATATATATATATATAATTTTATTTAAAATTAACATAAATAAATACTTTTAAATATATAAATTATATTTTAGATTTATGATAAATAATTTATATTGTGTCATAATATTATTTTAATTATTGAAAATATATTTTAAAAATATTAAAATTTAAGTAAATTAAATATAATAAATATAACTAATACAAATTAAAATAGATAAAAAAAATTTATATTTTTAAAAATCTCTCATATATAAAAAGTTAAAAATTATTCTCATTAAAGAAAAAACTCTTAAAAACGATCTTGTACATAATACCAATTATCATTTATATATATGTAGAGTTATTGGATTGAAAATGAAGATTGAAAACCAGTAAAACTAAAAATTAAAGTAAAAGGTATTGAAATTGAATTAAAATTTGAATATGATTTTGAAAGCTAATATTACAACTTAATTTAAACCAAAATTATTTATATATTTTTACTAGCATTTTTTTGATAATATACATGATAATTATTTATTTTATATAGCTAAATTTATAATAGTTTTATTATAATTAAAATTTGCAATTAATAAATAGTTTTTAGCACATAAATTATTTAGATTTATGATAAATCATTGAGATACAAATTATTTTAATTATTTATAATTTTAAAAACATTAAAAGTAAATATAAAAGTGATATATTCTGTTATAATCTAGTAATCTAGTAAGTCTCTACATTTTACACTTCAACAACTAGGCAGCCGAAAACATAACTCTAATTATTAAGGGTTAGCATGGTAACCGTCTCTAGATATACATACATATATACATATATATATATATATATATATAATTTTTTTTTTCATCATTAGCTGAAATGATAAGTAAATCTCTAAATGAGACTACAACTATAAATGCACATGTATATAAATACAATAATTAAGAACTGAAAGCATAAAATTAGGTTGCCAATTAAGCAACTACTACAAAACAGTAGCCCAAGTAATACCGTCATCCTTCAACATAGCTTTCAACACATATTCATCTTCCAGCCTATTCATGTCCTACTTCCATAACAAATATGATCATCGTAGTTCAACCATTAGGAAACATGTAAGGATAAGTTTGAATTCAAAAGAAAATAACATAGTAAAAAAGTATTAAACTAATTATACAATAACTTTAACAACTCAACATGTCATAACAGCCCAAGGCTAATCTTAACAACATTGCTCAACATGCCAACCTAGTTATACAACATAACAACATTCCAACTTACAATACAACCATGAAACTTATCATCATTCCCACTTAACCTATGAATACTACAACTATTCAACACAATATGTGATCATCAGAATAGTTCACAACACAATAATTTAAGCAATTTATAACATATCAACACATCAATTTCGCAACATATCAACACAACAACAATATGCATTGTCACGTATTTCAACTGAGAGATCTCTTGCAACAAAATTGAGTAGTCTAAGTGGTTTGACCTTACGAACCAACTTAACAACGCGATGTTTTTGAACTCATTAGATTAACAACAAATTTGGATATAAATTCACATCACAATATGATTTCTTGAATTTTGCTACTCAAACTAACTAGGAAAGTCCAGTATTCCTATCAAGATTAGGATAATTTGGGTATGAGCCTACCATGACCTTAACATGCATAACTAAGTCTATTATGGAATTAGCTCATTGATTACCTTTCAAATACTACACCTTTTCTACTACTTAATTAGGGACTTTAGCTCTCGACCTTGTACCTTACTTGGCTGGTCACTTCATACATGTTTGACTCGACCTTGCCCCTATATAGTTCTTAATTGATTGCTTCATAATCAGTATGACTCCACTTAATTCCCATGTTATGTAAACTAAGGTTCTAGAGGAGACTCAACTCTCCACTTCAAGAGTCAATTTCTTGAGAAAATTTTTCAAAAACTAGGCTCATAGAGCACCATGGCACCATATCCTTAGAATAAGATATTCATCTTTTTAAAGCAACACATCTTCTCTACTCCTAAGTTAATCAACAATGTACAACTCCATGCTTTAAGCATTTGTTAGATCAAAAGACGATTTTGAAACCCTCAGGGTATAAGTTTTAATGATAAGAAGCTTAAACATTTTTCAAAGAGAAGTTTTTCAGGTCATACTAAAAGACAAATCAACATAAACAATTAGTTATGATAACGTGTAGTCTCTTAGATCAACTACTTCATTTGTAAGATGAATGCATTTAATATATATTATTTATAATGTCTGATAGCTAAATCACGTCTAACTATGATATTCCTTAACAAATTGAAATGAATAAAAAGTTTTTTCAGTACTTGCACTTCAAAAAGGAACAAATACATGCTTTGTATTAGAGAAAGGACAAGAAAATCTCTTGAAGCATGCAAAATATTAGAAAAAGTTATTTCTAATTAACTCATGCAACAATTCCTACCGTTTGATATCATGAATGTGATAAATAGTCGCTTCGATTAGATAAAAAGTGATAATTTAGTGAAACGCATTTAATGCTTACAATTAATGCACCAACAAACACCTCTTCTCATAAGGAAGGGAGACAAAGATAGGCGAAGTAAGCTTGTGAGCAATGCTCAAGAATTTGCAATGATCATCTTCATGAAGTATCTATATAAAGAAGTTTGAAGATTCAAAAAGAAGAAAGAACAATCTTTGTAAAAATTTTATATTCACTTTTTATATAAAAAACTTTGCACTTAATTTGTTGTATCACGTCTTGATAGTAAGATGAAACAACAAGTGATTTCCCAACTTTAACTTTGTGTTATTGCTTAAAGCATAGAAAGGCTTGATTGTAAATAATACACTAGTGAAAAAAAGGCTTTTAAAATCGATTATTTTGGACTTTTAAAATCGGTTATGGAACTGATCTTAAAAGAGCCGATTTTGAAAAGGTAGACTTTTAAGATCGGTTATCAACCGATTTTAAAAGTAGACTTTTAAGATCGGTTATAATTTTAACCGATCTTAAAAGTCAAGACTTTTAAAATCAGTTGTTTTATAACCGATCTTAAAAGTAGTGATTTTTTTTGTATGTTTGACTTGTTTTGGGAGCACCTCAGAACAAAAAACCTGCAGAAAAACCAGACAGTTCAAAATATTTTCTCAATGAAGCACAAATCGCATACAAATGACAAGATGATAAATGTTAATCATATATATATAATTGAATAGTTTTAAATACATCTAATACATAAATGGACTACATTGCTCAATGAAATGTAAGTTCTAACTAGTTAAAGCAATACTATAAAACATAAGCCCATAAAGCACTACTATAAAACATAAGCCCAAACTAGTTAAAGTAATGGTCAATAAAAAATGTGGCCCATTACTCCCTAATGATGTTTATGTCTTCTAGCGACAATGGTGATCGATCTATAAATATCTGTTAAGAAAAATTAAAATAATTAGTAATAATTCATAAAATATATAGAATGAGAACTTAAAACAAAAACTTTCAAAATTGTAAAACTTACTTCAGTCCACCCAGATACTATTTGTGAATCGACAATAGTATGCATTGTCTACATTACATAGTATCCGCACTCATAATTTCCTTTTTGTTTATGAGACTATAATAGGAATATAAAATCAATTTCAATAGAATAGTAATTAAAAAAATTACTAAATTACTTAAAAAAAATATCATTGCTAGAATTAAAATCTTACTTTAGGAGAGACACAACTCCTTTTTTTCTTCATCTTTGAACCCTTAAGTATATGATATCCTTCCATGGCCCTAATGATAAAATGACATTATGATTAGTGTATAGTCAAATATAATGATAATCAATAAAAGAAATTATATATTTTTTTATACTTGATCAATATGTACTAGTACAATCCATTTTCTTAAACTTGACAAAATTTTGACAGCATTTCGTATTGGTCTCTAAGTACATGAAATGAAAGTGGTGACATCAAATTATATACACCACAATCAAATATGCACTCAAAGAGCAACACAAAATGCAATAAACCAAAATTTAATCAAATTTAAGATGAGACTTAACTTGTACGTATCAAACAAGTATAAAGAAAATTACTCATCCCAAATTGTCCACCAAGACAATTCAAGATTAAATATAAATGATTAAATAAATTTAATCATTTGTATTGAATCTCAAATGAGAAACTAAGGTTCACTTAATGTGTGCATAAACTAAATATATAATAGACAAGATTTATAGAGAAAAAAAGTGCATGCATTTCAAAGCTTCAAATAATAAATCAAGTATGTTTATTTATAATCTTTTTTTTCATTCTATTTAAACTAAATGACTTGTTACATTATTTCATTGCAATTTTTTATCAAACCAAATAAACTAAAAACCTGCCATATTTTTTTTTATATAATTTTTTATTCTATTTCTCTTTTTTTATTTTAGTAAATTTTTTAACTATATTATTATCTAAAATATTCTATCATGCATTCAAAATTTTTGAACTATATTATTATCTAAAATATTCTATCTATAATTTTATTTTAGTTAATGCTACTTCTTTTTTTATATAATAATGAATCGTTGAGGGCTTACCGTTACGGCCTAGTATCGGATACTGGTTAAGTTCGCCGGCGATGTGTGTTTGGTTTTAACTTTGAAGAGTGGTTGTTAGTTGTTAGCACCCAACACGTGCCTGCACGTGCCTCGTCTCCGATCTGGGATTTTGATTGCTCAATGGTGATTCTTCCTAATCCTCAACCTATCTTCACTTCCAATCTGCTAAACCGCTTCACCTTTCACCTTAACTTTTAACTAGATAAATACTTATGTTTAGACTTTAGATTCAGATAATTCTTTTTAGTTTTAGTTATAAAAATTTGTTTTATATTTTTAAAAAATGGATAAAATTATCAAACTGATTTTAGTAATAGATGGTTATTTTATTGATATATTACGAGAAAATATTATATGTAATGTTAATTAAAAAAAGTTGAACGTTTGTGATTGATTAAAAAGAACAATTATTAATTTCATAAACACATACCATAAAAAAAAACACTATATAATACATGTCAAAATTAACTCGACTTCAAAAATAAATATCCAAACTGATCATCATTAAAGATAGTCACTGATTATTCTTCTTGATTGAGAATAATTAAACTAATGAACCCAAATATAATTAGCGCGAGTACAACAAATGAAAATAAAAGATCATTGAGAGGGTTAAAAATAAAAAATAAAAATATTTTTTTAATTATTTTTTATACATTAAAAATAAAATAATTAAGCATCAGCCAACTTAAGCTCCTCCATTTTTTCCTTGCGCCAATTTTCAATTGCTTCTGCATAGAATGAGTCAACGTTAAAAATATAACAGCAATAAAATATCTTTCAAATTCTTCATCATTTGCATAACTACCAATTTTAGTGTCTAAAAATAAAATCTACATGCTATGTAATGGTATGAGGAAAAGAAACAATCATACAGGCTTCCTGCAAAAAGCTACGCCTTATTAAAATATTTCTCTCTTGTTTTCTATTCACCTGCTTCCTAATCCCCCCAAAAAATTGATAGATCCAAGTGATTCAACAGTTCCAGATGGAAGATTCTACTGGACATCATAAAGTCCTATACATTGACTTGCAGCCTAAAATAATGTCACTCACCCCTCCCTCACATTTTAACTGCATACCGTAATACACTTGTTGGTCTCTCTACCCTTATCTGTGCATGATAATCTTTAACTTCTATTTCATCAGATATTTCATGACAAATAACAAACATTTTAATTAAATACTGTGATCTAATTTGGTAAAACAAAAATTATAGAACTGTTAATTACATCATTCATTTTGCTTCAAACATACATGAAACAACACAGATATACATGTCAGTAACATAGTACTAAAATGAGGAAGCAAGATCAAATAGATCGAATAGGAACTCATAATTAGAGTAGGAAACTGGGAGACCAAGCTCCTTAAAAGGAAAGGCCCTTTGTTAAGACTGAAAATGCAAAAATAAATAAAAGATAACAAGGGAATTCTACATGTGCAAAGAATACCCCAGGGACCCAACCCAGCCAAGAAACCTCTCCATTTTACTTAAATCTAGCCTACCATTCCCAGATCCTTCCCTCCCCTATTTTTATCTTGACTGCTAGCCAGTTACCTCCTTTTCACATACACCTTGCCATGTAGGCAAGATTGTTACAGCACTTTACAGTCCAAATTCCTCTTCTGCTCCTTACTCACATTGCCCTCAAAGTAGTAGTGATGTGAGGCCAAACAGGATCAAAGATTCTAATGCTTAATTTACAGAAAAATTTACAATATTAACAAAGTAAGACAGGGCAAGAGAAAAATTCCTAAACATGGATTTGGAAGAGCAGATTTATTATACTGCAGCAATAGTTATGCTATATACCCAAACAGAGAATAATGTAACGCTGACTATTCCAAACCAAAATGAATTAAAAAGGAGAGAATTCAGTGAAGACAAGCATAACATCTTTGTATCTGACTTGTAAACAAGACTAGTGCATTTCATAGCAGCAGTAAATAGACAAAGAAAGCTTGTAAAAAATATATTGAAACTAAAACTTAAACCTCAATGCAGTTGTACATACATCATAAATAACCTTCGCAATAACATCTTTATAGGGAAGTAATTCGTCATGTAGGTTTAAATGGGCAACTTGACCTGTATAAAGTAGGATAGATGTTAGTTTACTATCAGCAACCAACCAAACAGATTTAATTGTTAACGAAAATGAACCTCACTACTCCCCTCTGAAGGAATCAATATTAAAAAACAAAAAAAATTTACAACGCATAAAGGGCAAAATAATACAGCTCAGATACCACTCACAAAATGATCATAAATTATTATTCCAAATACTTAACAATTGTTTCAAATGATGAAGGCACCTCCACTCCAGTAGGCAGTATCTGCTTCAGCACATGTTCTATGAAAACAAAAAATTTTCATACAATTGTAAATAACATATAAGCACAAATGTAGGAAACAAATGAATCATTACAAATCCAATTTTTAAAAGCAAAGAATGTAAAAAAGTTACTACAATGGTCCTGAGTAAAAGAGACACTTTGACGTAACTACTCCATCAACATGAAAAAATAAAGTTGAAAGACAGCCTTGGCAGTGTGATTGAAGAGAACAATGCATTCACTCACCTGCACTCCAATAAGAGTACCCTAGTGTCAACGAATAGGGCACAACTTCAATCTCACACAAGCCCTTAAGCTCGTCAACCTTTTGTTTTGGAATATCCGATAAATCTGCCCCAACATTCAATTCAAGTCAGAGAGAAAGAAGCCTATGTGCTATTGCAGTGATGAACAAATATATCTTTAGAAATGCGAAACTCGAAGCATAAGAAATGCGAAGGATTAGTGTTCTGTGACCTCTTTAGTTTCTGCAGTGATGAACAAGAAGAAGCCTATGTGCTATTGCAGTGATGAATAAGAAGAAGCCTCTGTGCTATTGTAGTGATGGAGATTCTTCAATATTCGTGAACCTCTCTGCATACCCGAACGGAGAGCTGGCTCTTTGCTAACCTGAACGAAGAACACCCCTTGCGAACACGAACGGAGAACAACAGAAATGTGAATGGAGAACAACAGTAGAAACCCTAAGCACGAATGAAGGAAAGGGCAACAACAAGCCTGAACCCTAAGCACGAACAAACGAACCTGAATGAACGAAGTATAGAGTGGAGGCCAAAAATGTAGAAACGTAAAATGATATTTAAGATCGGTTATCTATGAACCGATTTTATATGTTACATACAAAATCGGTTCCTATATAACCGATCTTAAAAGTAGTAAAAAAGACATGATTTAAAATCAGTTAAACTGTGACCGATTTTAAAAATAATTTTTAAAATCGGTTATATTTGAACCGTTCTTAAAAGTTGTGATAGACATATGATGAAGATTTTCGCAATCTCTCCACTTGGCAAGCGGACCAAGTTTCGATGTAGTATTTAAGTATCGTCCTCAGGGATTTGAGAATTTAGTAATTCTTACTCTAATGATTAATATAGAGATGTTGATATGATTGGAAGTGAGCTAATGTGAGGCAAAATTAAAACGGTAATGTAAAAGTTATAAGAACAATTATATGAAACAAGGATTGGACCCTAGAGCACTTGCTAACTCCTAAATTTCCTTAAAATAAATATGATTTCATCTTCATGACTTCCACGTTCATTTAGTAATTCAACAAGATCCCTCAAAATTGAATCCTAAAGTAATTAATCTAAAACATGATTCCTCTATGTTTTATGATTAACACTTTGCATTAAGAGCAATGACTTGAACAAGGTGACTAAACAAATCAAGTCTATTCCTAGAGCAAGAGATGTTTAGGTGCAAGATTCAGTTCGGGTTTTCAAAAACGTTTTCCAACCGGATTCAAAAACCAAAAATCATACAACGGGTGATCAAGCCGATATAAGCATTAAGAGAAGAATCAAACACAAGTAATGAAAATGAAATGCATATATATATTTAAGAAGAAGAAGAGTTAGTAGTTACATCTAGACCAATCCTCAAAGATTTAGCCCCTCATGGCCATTTACAAGATCAAAGGAGTGGAAGAAGAAATTACAAAGGAAGAGATGAAGAAAAAGGAGTTGATCCTCGTTCCCAAGTGATCCAGCCTCCAAATCTTCGTTCCCACTCTGTTCTTTCTTCCTCCTGTGCTCCCCGCTCTTGTTTTTCTCTTTGTTTTCGTCTCCCTTTTCCTTTTCTCTCTCCCCTGCCCTTTTATAATTGCTAGAATTAAAACAGAGTAGGCAGGAAGAGAAGAATCCGCTCAGCGCCTTGAAACGGCTGAGCGGATTGGGAGTTCTTCACCATGAAGAAACCTCAAGGGCTGAGCGCCTGAGATCCGCTGAGCGCTTTAGAGGTAGAGAGCACCCCTTGTTCCTGGATGAAATCCGCTGAGCGGATGGGAATGGCTGAGCGGATTGAAGGCATAGAGCACTCCTTCTCCTCCAAGGCCAATCTGCTGGGCGCTTTGAAGTGGATGAGCGCCTTGAGTTTGGGAAGTTCTCTGACCTGATTCCGCTGAGCGCTTTAGAATGGCTGAGCCATTCTTCTCCAGGTTTCAAAACCTACAAAATAAGCACCAAATTGGATCAAAGGCTTCTTATTCCCTGTACTAACATTAATCAAAAGCACCTCTTTGATTCTAAGTATATATAGATAAAAATAATATCAATATGTACACAAAATGTGCTAGATAAGTGTCTCAAGTGAGTATTAAATCAAACTAATTAGACACTTATCAACATACCTTTTAAGATCGGTCATAAAATAACCGATTTTAAAAGTACTTTTAAGATCGGGTAAATTTTAACCGATCTTAAAAGTGTTTATATTATTTACAAAATTGCCACCGCGTCACTTTTAAGATCGGTTACCTTATAACCGATTTTAAAACTCCGATTTTAAATCCAATTTTTTCACTAGTGATACTTGCATATTTGTTGGTTGAAGCATGAAAAGACTTTGTTGAAAAAGATTACTTTTTTGTTGAAGCCTAGAGAGACTTTATTGTAAAAGAATATTTGGTTGTTGAAGTCTAGAGAGGTTTTGTTGTGAAAGTATACTTGATTGTTGGAGTTTGAAGAAACTTTATTGCTAAAAAAAAACATAGGTATAGCTACTTGAAAAGGTAAGTCAAAGAACACTTAGGTTGAGTTAGAACTGACTTGTGAAAGAATACCCTTATACTTGTAAAAAAATAGTGTAACTTGATCAAGAACTAGACGTAGTCTTGATGGTTGAGATCAGCAAATATAAAAAATACTCTATGTTATTTATTCTTAACTCTACGTTTACACTCGTAAGGTTTTTTATACTACCTCATTGTTTAAAAAAATGTTAAGTTTTTGATTGACACTATTCAACTCCCTTTTTAGTGTTTATCTTCTTTTCACGGTTTGGTATCATAACTCAAACTTTGATTAGGTTAAGCATCTAACCGTGTTAAAGAAAAAGATCCTAAGATGGGAAGTATTGAATGTCACTACCTACTTGAAGGAGTTTCTTTTGCAAGGTTACTAACCTTTGATGGAGAATAATACCCATATTGGAAGGCCAAGATAGAGATGTTCATCAAGTCCACCTAATACCATCTCTAGAAGATCATCATAGGTGGTGATGTTCTTATAACCAAGCCAAAAAATGAGTACATGCAAGAAGACTACATCATCTTGCAACTTAACAGAAAAGGCAAGATACTTAATTTTCTCTATGTCAAAAATATAGATTACAACAAGTTTTGTGGTTGCAAGATTGTTAAGGAAATATGGGAAATCATCAGGGTAACTCGTGAGGATATTGAAGATGTAAGATTTAGACAAGTTGTTACTGTTTAGAGACATTATGAGTTGTTCTTTATGGAGGATAACAAAACCATTGATGAGATGTTTGGAAGGTTCCAAACCATTCTCAATGGGCTAAAATCCATGTGAACAAAGATTTTAAAGCTTAGAAGAATCGCAAGATCTTGGATAGTCTTCCAAAGATTTAGGAACCAAAGGTCACCACTATATCAAAAGCTCAAAACCTTATAACTCTGACACTGGACGAGCTCCTAGGAGCACCAAGAGTTCATCTAAATAAGTAAATCACTTTTGATGCCACTTAACTAGGGCACAACGTCACGAAGTCAAAGAGCTCACAAGTAAATCACTCTTGACGCCATTCATCCCACGTTCGGTGTGACCAAGTCAAATAACTCCCTTCTAAGTCATGTCCGATGCTACCAATCCTATGCTTGATGTTAGTGAGGTAGAGAGCCTTTAAATTTTATCATGTTCGACCCCATAAAGTTGTGCTCAACACGATAGAGATTTCTACCCTTGGTAGAATCACTATTTTTGCTCCAATCACTTGGAATTCAGCCAAAACTAACATGCAACACAAGAATTCACAAATATACTGTACAATTAACTCATATACATCATAAATTTCCACATGCAACTAGCCAAATGTTCAAATTATCACTTGTTTTCAACTTCTTCTAAAATCAACTACAAACTCAACTTAAGCAATTCAATCTTCAAAATCAACCAACATAACCATAAAAATTCATAATTCAAGCAAGGATTCACCAACTAATTCAACAACAAAATTGCAAGAGCCTCTCTTAGCTACAAATCACCCATAATAGAGGTAGAAAAAGAAGAACAAAATCCTTTGAGGAACTTCGCACACACTTCGAGAACTTTGATTTGAAGCTCTCCAAGCTTGAATCTCTACACAACAACTCAACTAATTCTAGGGAAGGATTATAGAATGCTTTTGTGGAATCAAAAGAGGAAGGAAGTCTCTCTAGCCCCATAAATCCCCTCTTTAACTTCTCTTTAAGTTTCTTAAGAAATGAACTTATAATGTTCAAGTTTTAAAGGATACCTTATATACTTTCTCTTAATTGGTCAACTTTGACCTCAACTCAAAATAATTTTTAAATAACATAAACTAATTAAGATTCTAAATCTTTAGAATTTCACAAAAATTAAACAATAAATCGGAACATCAATTTAATTAATAAATTAAACATACATAAAAAATTCATAGTATCACACATTTAAAAATATTAGAGGTTAAAGATATGAAAATAAATATAAAAATAATGCCTATATATATATATATATTATTTTGATATAGAGTTACTTGTTAGATAATAGATAGTTTGTTCAATATGAAAAATATTAGATACATTTGCATATTTGTATTATGAAGTTCATTCCTCCATGGGAGAAGAATATTATAAAAGAATGAATATAAATATGCGTGAAATATTTACAAAGTAGAGAATCATTTTAATTTATCTATATAAAATTATTTATAAAACTGACATGATACTCATATTATTTTGATCAATATAGATTAATTTAAAAAAAATTGTTATAGATTTATTCTCATATATCATAATTTCCTGTATAAGATCATTTTTATATTGAGTGGGATTTAAAATAAATTGAAAGAGTTTTTATTTTATTTTAGATAAAAAAAATTGTATATTATCTCTTTTTATTTTATTTTATGTTAACATATATAATTTTATTTTTATAAAATTAATAGTAAATAGTTTTTTTAGGAACCTTAATATACTTTCACTTTTTCTTCGCTTTTTTTTTTCTCTCTGTGATGGTGAAAAGAAGAGAGATAGAGAGAAAATAATGACAAATGATAAAATAGAAATTAAAGAATATATATATATATATATATACTTGCTTTTTTTAAAATACATGAATATGATAAGTAACTGTTATATCTAATATTGGTTAGTTATAACAGAATAATGTAATTTTGATTAGATATAATCAAATCAAATTGAAGTTATAAATAAATAATCAGCAAAAAAGATAAAAAAAAAGAGGAAAATATATTGGTAAATCGGGTAATTTTTCCATAATCTCGTTTTGATCACCCTAATAAAGAAGTAGGAGGAATACATCTGCGGCTACTGTGTGCGCTGATTTTGTTTGTTAAAACTGTCACTCAGTCAGTCAGGAGAGTACACAAACACAATCAAAAACCCTGACACTCTCTTCCGTCCACCACCACCATCTCACAAATCCCAATGGAATCAAAACAAGATTCATAAACCACGCTCCCACCGCACGCATCCACACCACACCCCTCCTTTCCAATTCCGTCCTCCACCACTTCCACGTCAAAACAAAATCATGGCCGTGCCAATGCGGAAGATGACAATGTCAGAGGATAAGAGAGGCACAGCAGAGGAGGCAGAAGCCAGGTTCGTTGGGATTCCCAATGCACCCACGCAAACCCCAACACCGCCGCCGCCGCCGTGTCTCCGCGTCCTTCACCCTGATCATGTGGCCGTTGGCTCCCCCATCACCAGGGTCCCTCTCGTTCCTTCTTCCACATCTTATTCACTGCCGCCATCCTCTACTCTCACTGACCCCATGTGGGCCCATGATCTCCCCAACGATTTTTCCAGGTTGAATCTCTTCGACGGGGAAATCGACTCTTACCCTCATCACCACCACAACACCGCTTTATTCGAAAAAGGTTTTACTTTTTCCTCCCCAGATAACCTCGGAAACTACATGTACCATCATATCTTGGACCAGAGGAGAAAACACCTTCAGGGCACCAGTGGTGCAAATGCAAACTATCAGATTCTTCGGGATCGTTTCGTCTCTCCGCAGTCTCACGGAGGAGTCAGAACGCCGGTTAGGTTCTCTCCATTGAATTCCACTGCCAATAACAATCCCTCGCATTATTACTACGCCGCAAAAGAAAAGGCATCCATAGACTCGGAGCAGCTTTCACATGTTATATCTCCGAGGAGAGTCGTGGGTGACCCTTCTGGGTATAGGTGTGACAATAGTATCATCATACAAGGGAGAGAAGCAAAACAGTGTTTTGAGAACGGGTACAGTTCCACCAGGGGCTTTAGAAGGAGTCCCCGTGATGAGGCTTCTATTCATGGCGTGGGTCCTAAGAGCTTTTCTGCTGCTGCTGCTGCTGCTGCTTCTGGTCAAAATCAGAACAATGGTGATTTCACACTGCCCATGCTGCTGGATTTTTATTCTGTGCCTGACGCTCAGTGTTACATATACAACCTGGCTAAGGATCAAAACGGTTGTCGTTTTCTGCAGCGGTTGGTTGACGAAGGAACCTACCAAGATATGTGTATGGTGTTTGAGGGAATCATTGGGAGTGTGGTTGAACTTATGATAGACTCTTTCGGGAATTATCTTGTGCAGAAGTTGCTCGATGTTTGCACCGATCAACAACGCCTGCAGATTGTGTTCATGTTGACGAATCAACCGGGCCAGCTCGTTCGCATCTCTTTAAATACTCATGGGTATATTATATTATATACCTTTCCATATTAATTAAAGTTTGTGCTTTTCTATGTAAATGAATGGGATAAAGCATGTATTTTGCTTTATTTGGTTACTGAGTTAATTGTTTCATTGCAACAGCACACGCGTGGTGCAGAAGTTGATCGAAACGCTCAACTCCGCCGAACAAGTTTCAATGGTGAAGTCTGCCATTCAACCTGGTTTTCTTGATCTAATTAGGGATCTGAATGGAAATCACGTCATTCAACGTTGCTTGCAATGCCTTAGCTGTCAAGATAATCAAGTATTACTCTTCTTTCTTTTACTTATGAACTCTTCTTTAAGTTTTTATTGTATTTTCCTCTTTATTTTACCTGTGTGTTCTCTTTTGTGCTTACTTAACAATTTGAATCAATTGAATATTATGAAGCATCTATATATATATATATATATA